CCATTTGCAAAATTTTGCTTTGACTTGCGAACTGAGCATTAACTTATGAACAAAAAAAACCACGAGGAAGGCAGAAAATTTGAACAGTTGGCCAATGAAGAGGCTGCTTGTCTCGCTCGTCCCAGCAGTTATAGAGTGTGGATACGGAGAGAGACTTCAGACTGCCTGCTGCCTGGTACTGTACTGCCTGGTACTGCCTGGTACTGTACTGTACAGACTTCACTGTATTTTTTTGGGGGGGGCAGAGAGACTGCCTGTTCTGGGTGAGTACACTGTATTTACTGTACATTGGTTTTGCAGCTTGGGGTTGGGCTAGGTGGCTAAGTTGCGGGGTTATGTTTCTGTGCTTGCTGTTGGTTTTAAAATCAGAAAACTGTTTGCAAAGGTCTGTCTGGCTGTTGACCTCTAAAATGCATTTTAGTCTTTTGGTTGCTTGGTTTAAAATGTGTTGTTGTAAAATGTGTAGGTTTAAAATGTGTGGGTTTAGCAATGTGTGGGTTTAAAATGTGTTTTAGACTCCAAACTCTCTCTCCCCTCCCCATTGTCTTTTCTCTCTGTGTCTTCTCTCTTTTTGTGCTTAAAAGCACAAACTTTTGTCTGAGGGGTCTGCGTGTCCCAGTGATGACCTTCTTTCTTTCCTCTTTTCCCCATTGTTCCCTCCCTCCTTCCCTCCTTTCCTGCCCTTTTTTAAACCTAAGTTCATTAGGTTAAAAGAAGAAAAAATCTCCCCCTAGTGGTAGAGGACAGATTAACCGGTTTTGCTTTAGTTCCTATGGGAACTAATACCTTGACTTACAAACCGTGCCTTGACATAAGAACAAAAAACAGCCAGAACAGATTAGTCGGGTTTCAGTGCATTCCTATGGGAAATGCTGATTTGACTTACGAACGTTTTGACATATGAACATCTTCTGGGATGGATTAAGTTCGCAAGACAAGGCACCACTGTATAGTGCGTGGCTATGACATGCACTCCTCTTGGAAGCCTAATTAGTGCAACATTTTCTCTGTTTTGGCACCAAGTTAATAGCTGGTTGTTCACCTGAGCACAGATTATTCCAAAGCTTGGTCTCAGTTTGTTTAGTTTGCTGTTTTGTTCTTTATTTTTTATTGCTATTGTGCTTTAAAGTTCTTATATTTTAATTCTTGTAAAGCATTTAGGTGGCTTTAGTCCTATTTATGTGATTTTATTGACAGTACCCCACCCTGTTAACTGCTGATATAGAGTGGGTTAGAAATATTTTACATATAAAGTGCAAGCTTTAGCTCTTGTACACAATGAGTGTTCTTCTGTCTGAAGTGTTTAATGTGGTTAACCTGTTTAAACAATATGGTCTAGCAAAATCCTATTGGTGGGACCTCTGCTGTAATGTACTCTAGTTCTTTGCTTAGCTGTGATTTATGGAACATTTCTATACAGTCTAAGTGAACAGAGCAAAAAAAGTGCTGTTGTATAAAGAAAAGGTGTATAATATGAGTAGAGAATTCCTCTTAAGATCACATTGTACACTTCTAGACTTCTTGACTGAGATGTTGACTGAATATGCAAGTGGTACTGTTGCAAAAATTTGGCATGAGTACTACTCAATTACTTGAGAAAAAGCTGGATAAGATTATAAGTGGTTGGAGAAGAGATTAGTGTTTTTGTTTTTCCCATTATTAGCAAAACTGGAACAAAATAATTGGTCAAAATATCATCAAAAACCCCGAAAAACTATGCAAAGAAAGATACTAAGATTTGCTCAATGTGCACAATTCATACTAATCACAGAATTCTGTTTTTCTCACTGCAGAATTTGTACTGTTGGAATGCAGAATTTCATCCTCCCTTTCTTTGTGCAGAATACATTTATGATTTGAGAATTCTAAAGTTATAACAGAATTCTGCATGATTGAAAAACACTGAATAAATATGCTTAGTCTTAAGTCCCATTACTTTCAGTGTTTCCAAGTTTGTAGGGATTCAACATAACTAAAGAGGTAGGTAAACTTTGTTGAAAGATATGAGAAGAAAAGGAAGTGTCTTATTTTACATGAAGTAGTTTCCCCCAGAGATTTTTTACAAAATCCAGCAAGGTGCAATGCTGGATGTTGTGACTTCCATTGACAGTATATTCAAGTTACCAATAGGCTTATATAATTTTCTGTATCTATTAAAGTTCTTCTTCTCTGATTATTGAGTACAATTTGTGAGTAATATTAGAAAATATTTAGTTTTTATTTGTCATGGTGTAATTTAGGAAAACTGAATTCCTTGAAAGTAAAAGAGAAAAACTAATTACCTTGACTTACGAGTTTTGCTGTGCTGTGAATGTTGTGATTCCCACACAATGTATCCACACTGGATTACTCCTCAGTTACTTCAGTACAGTGCTCAGCCAGCAATGAGGAGTTACTATTAAACAGAGATGCGCATGAACCACCAAAATGATGGTTTGTCTTGTTTTGTGGTTTGTGGACATCCATGAACCACAAATATAGGAATTATTCCAGAATGAACCACGAATCAAGTCATTAATTCGTTCGGAGGGGGGGAAGCCCAGCTATTTTCCCACACTCACAGCCTGCTCCCCATCCCCTTCCTACTGCCCTACTGCCCCCTTACCTTTTCCTCCGTCCACTACCACTCTTGCTGCCATTTTGAGAGGGCTTTGCAGCCCAGCGGCCTCTGCACATCTCCCAGCCTCTCAGTTGAGAGGCCTGGAATTGTGCGGAGCCCCCTTTGTGGGCCAACAAGCCTGCTAAAAT